TGAGCGGGAACCGGTCTGTACGTGGCATCCGAACCCTCGGGCAGGAGCGCCGCCGCGCTTCCCAAGCGGCGCACTATCCAGTGCGCCACCGGGCCGGCCCTAAACATTTTTTAATTTTGATGAAGTCTAATTTATCTTTTTTTTTTTCTTTAAAAGATGACCAGTAGAGGGATCTTAACCAGTAGGGGGATCTTAACCCTTGACTCGGTATTGTCAGCACCACACTCTCCCAAGTGAGCTACAGGCTGGCCCTATATATATATTTATGTTGTTGTTACTCATGTTTTTGGTGTCATATCTATGAGACCATTACCTAACCCAAGGTCATGAAGATTTACTCCTATGTCTTCTTGTAATAATTTTATACTTTTAGCTCTTACATTTACATTTATCCATTTTGAGTTAATTTTTGTGTATAGTATGAGTTGGGGTGCATATTCATCCCTTTGCATGTGGATATCCAATTGTCTTAGTACCATTTGGGGAAAAGGTTCTTCTTTCCTCATTGAATTATCTTGATACCCTTGTCAAAAATCAATTACCTCTCATAAATGTATGAGTATACTTCTGATCTCTGAATTCTAGTTCATTGATCTATATGTTTATCTTTCTTTTATTTATTTATTTATTTATTTATTTTTCTTTTCTTTTTTCTGACCGGTAAGGGGATCGCAACCCTTGGCACGGTGTGGTCCGCACCACGCTCAGCCAGTGAGCGCACTGGCCATCCCTATATAGGATCCGAACCTGCGGCCTCGGTGCTACCAGTGCTGCACTCTCCCGAGTGAGCCACAGGGCCAGCCCTATTTATTTATTTTTTGATGGCTGGACAGTGAGGGGATCCGAACCCTTCACCTTATTGTTATCAGCACCATGTAGTTCTTTAATTTTTAATTTTAATTTTTTTTAAAGCCTACAGCACCTAGTAATCTCTGGTGGTCTCCCATCCAAATACTAACCAGGCCCCACCCTGCTTAGCTTCTGAGATCAGACCAGATTGGGCACGTTCAGGGTGGTATGGGTGTAGACTGTTTACCTCTCTTTTAAAGTTACGATAAATTGGCTCAAGCCTCATCCTACATGCTATGGGAACAACAGCATCTCCCCACTGCCAGAAGCCTGAGAATTCTCAGGGACACATTTTCCCTCCTCTCATACCCATTCCTTGCTTTTACTGAATTTTATTAGTTCTGCATCTTGTCCTCTATAACCTAGCTCTTCCCACTCCATTTCATCCCTTAAAGAACCATGAACACAACAGTGTGTGACAAACTCTTATTTAGGATTTGAGGAAATGGATCAAAAATCTTACAAAGCTTGTATGGACAGCAACTTAAAAAAAAAAATCACTGCCTATGATTGCATTAGTCAATCACCATATAACAGGATACTTTTCACTGCTTGTGGCTCCTTTAGGTCCTGGTGATTGTCATCTTCCTGGGCCTTTCTTGCTTCCTGGATACTTCTCTCTTCCCCTCCCTACATGCCAGATCCAACCCCAGCTCCTCTTCCTTTTTTTTTTTTTTCCTTTTTGTCTTCTTTTTTACTGACCGGTAAGGGGATCGCAACCCTCGGTGTTGCTCCCGCGGTGATTGTCATCTTCCTGGGCCTTTCTTGCTTCCTGGATACTTCTCTCTTCCCCTCCCTACATGCCAGATCCAACCCCAGCTCCTCTTCCTTTCTTATGTGGGGCACTTCACTTCTCTCCTTGACTTGCCTTCACTCTGACCCACCCCACTTTTCAACAAGATGGCCTAGGAAGTTTCCCTGAGCCTTTCCCCCAAGAGAAGAATCCCATCTCTAAGGTAAATGCTGCCCCCTCCCTAGAGTGAGGAAGCACAGCTGCTATTTTCTAAATCACAATTATTTTTTTCCTGTACATATGTTTCAATGTGATGATCCTCTTTGGGCTACAGCCTCCTCATGTGGGAAATGAGAGAACTGGACTACTCTATCTCTAAGTCTCCTTCCAGTTCTAAAGTCCTATGGAAACTTCCAAATCGATCTAAATGGCTAAATGGAGCATTTACATTTGGTAGAACCTGCTTAAAGAGGAAAAGGGAAGATGAAAAAATTTTCCTTCTTTTCCTGCTTCACAGATTCACTCACAGCCTGGATTTGACTAATGCTACTCCTGCAGAAACACAGAGTGGAGTCCCTGAAATACCTTTAGATCCTTTTGTGTCAGGTCGATGAGCCACAGCATGGTCAAGGAATAAAAGTCAGCCTTAAGGATTCGGATTTAAATTACCTTCATTGAATCCCCACTTTGAGTCAGGCACTTCGCTGGGTGCTTTTAAACACACGATTTCATTTAATCACATTAGTCCTATGAGAAAGGTTTTATTGTCTCAATTTTAAGGATGAGAAAGTGATGCTCACTCAGAGAGACTAAGTAGCTACTTCGAAGTCACACGGCCTCTGAGGGACAAGGACTTGAATGCACCTTTGAAGGCAGCAACTTCCATGCCTGCAGGAGCCAGGCTGGTAACAGAAGTGAGGGGGTCAGGTAAAAATAGGAAGCAGTGGGAGGAGCATGTGTATCCTCTGACTTTGGCAACTGTTGATTAGCACTGGGCAAATATGCCATGTAGGAATGTGGGTCTCATGTGGCCAGTTTTGTGTTTTCTCAACTGATGGGGGAAATCCAGATTTTGTGAATTATCCCAATTTTAAAGTAGAGATCCAACAGTGAGCCAAATAAAATACCTCCACAGGTCAAATTTGGCCTGGGGGACTGCCATTGAGGATGAATTCCTTTGGCTTAATACCCATCCTCCTATCCATCTTTTCAAAAGCAAACATGCTCTAAGTTAGGTAACCACTAAGCCATAAGTTGCTGCTCCACCCTTGATGGAGATGGGGTGGGGTAGGGAAGAGGTGCCTGCAGCCCTGGGCTTTGTAGCTGGGAAATTAAGTTAGTGTTCAAAGATTTGGCCCGACCAGGAGGGCAGGGCCCTGCCACGAAATGAGACAGACAACTGGGAGCAAAGAGGGGGTGCCGGCCTTATTCATTCAGTTGCTTGAGAACGAGGGTCTTGGGGATACACGTTTTACGTGAGCAGGAGCTTTATTTTGTGGCTGGCTGCGCCCTAAGGCTTCGCTCTAACACACACACACACACACACACACACACACACACGGATTGGGACAGGACAAGGGCTAAACGNTAAATAAATAAATAAATAAAATGGTGAGAAGAGCATGGCAAGTACAGCGAAGTGGACTCCTGCACAGAGACTAGTCTTGTTGGAAAGAGAAGGACATGAGGTACATGGGAGCAGTGACCCGGAGCTCCTGTCTGCTAATGTGGAGACTGTTCCAGCTCCTCTGCAGACCAGCTGGGATAGGAGCTAAGACAGTGCCCTCCAGTCCTCCTTGGGCTCACCAAGACTGGTGGGGGGTATGGAGCTCACTCCCAGGTGGGGACTTCCTGCACCAGGCTGTTGCTTGGGGCCCTGAAGATTTGGTTCTCCCCCACAGAGTTCTGCATGAATCCCCAGACAGTGCTGCTCCTGCGGGTCATTGCTGCCTTCTGCTTCCTGGGCATCCTGTGTAGTCTCTCCGCATTCCTTCTTGATGTCTTTGGGCCCAAGCATCCAGCCCTGAAGATCACCCGTCGCTATGCCTTCGCCCATATCCTCACTGGTAAGCCCAGGGCCTGCTCACAGTTGGGGAGGAATGGTGTGTACTGTCTGCAGTAGCAGGTGGGGACTCGGATTTCTATGAGCAGACTCTGTTCCAGGTGCTCATGTGAAAAGCTCTAGCCTTTTACAGAGCATCGGCGCTTATAAACAGCTTGCTTCAGCATTTGCGTGTACACTTGCCAGGATCATAATCCTACTCAGCCCAGCTGGAGAGAGGAGTGTTGTTAGAATTCCACAAGGAATCTCACGGCTCTCTAAAACCAGCATTTGAAGCTTAGCCGAGCTGAGGACCTGGGATGAGCAGGAAGGAACCAGGCTATCTCCCCGTCTCCCCTGGAGCACATGGCTGGGATCTCTCCTCTCCATCTTCTGCTTCCCCACAGACCAACCTTCCCTGCTTGTACGCGGCTGCTCTCCTCCCGCATGACTGGGCCATTGTGTCCATTTGACTTGTGATGGTGCTGCCTCCAGTTCCCAAACTGCATGACCTTATCTGTTCCTAGTGGCCTTAGTATCCCAATTGCAAACTCTTAACACAGAGAGAATCTGACTGGTCTAGATGGGGTCAGGCAGCTGTCCCTAGCCCCAGGCCAAGAATCCCGTGGTCAAGAGAGCTCCTTGCAGGGTCTGGGGCTGGGCAGGTTCTCTGAGTAGAGGGTTTGAATAGAGGGGCTGTGATTGGTTCCTCAAGCATCCTAGTTGCAGGGTGCCTGCTAATCCCCTTTCTGTGCCATCCCTCTCTCCTTCAGTCCTGCAGTGTGCCACCGTCATCGGCTTTTCTTATTGGGCTTCTGAACTCATCCTGGCCCAGCAGCAGCAACATAAGAAGTACCATGGCTCCCAGGTCTATGTCACTTTTGCTGTTAGCTTCTATCTGGTGGCAGGAGCTGGTGGAGCCTCAATCCTGGCCACAGCAGCCAACCTCCTGCGCCACTACCCTACGGAGGAAGAGGAGCAGGCACTGGAGCTGCTTTCTGAGATGGAGGAGAATGAGCCCTACCCAGCAGAGTATGAGGTCATCAACCAATTCCAGCCGCCCCCTGCCTACACACCCTAATGCCAACCATGGGCTCGCTTCCTCGGCAGCCCCTCCCCCAATTCTACAGCTCCTCTCACACCCAGAGGAGCTCTTTTCCCCAGCAGGCCTCACTGGTAGGACCCTGACCATCTTCACCAAATCTTCCCCAGGAGAGCTTCTGCCTTTAGGGTTCTCCATGTATCCCTGCTCTCAAAACCTGGGGCTCATCAATTTTATATAATGCACTGTTGCCCCTCCTGTCACCTTCTGCCCTTTCAACGTTCACTCGTCATTACCAACCAGGGATGGTCATACAAGTTTTCTCCCCTCGTGGGCCATATCTTTGGGACTGGGACTTTTCTTGGGTAGCTGCTGATAGTGAACAGTCCCAGATAGAAGAAGTATCAGCAGAGCCCAAGGGGACTGGGACTTTTCTTGGGTAGCTGCTGATAGTGAACAGTCCCAGATAGAAGAAGTATCAGAAGAAAGGGGACTGAACCCTGCAATCTCACTTCACAAGGATCAACGTTTGTTCCACGGCTGTAGCTCTGGGCTGACATACCCTCCCCCCACCCCCCATTTCTTCTTGGAGTGCCCCAGTACCAGGCTGCCCGTTCCGTGGAGTTCTCTGCACTTTAGTCTTTGGACTTGTCCTCACATGTGTTCTGGTCTTACGGGGAGAAGGAATTGCTGTTGGGAAGGAGAGCAGAACCTGGTATGAGACTGAGGCCTCCTGGTGCCTATAAAGGATCAGAGTGGAGGGGACCACATCCCTTACCCCCTTCACCTTTTAAAATTTGAGTTGTTTTAAACGGAACAGACAAAACCAAAACAGCAATATTCTCTTTTTAACATAGGGACAAGGCTGTTGTCATTTTTCAGAAATGTATCCCATTCCCTTTAGCTCTGCAATATTTTTGCCCATAGCTCCTTCCAAGTTCCTCCCTGAGTCTCCAGCAGAATGCAGCCTCTCTTCCCTTGCTCCTTCTCTCCCAATTACTGTGGCTCCCTGGGGCCTTCCTGTGGAACCCAGAGCTACATGGCCCCTGAGGGGCTGAGGACTGTGGCCTGGCAGGCGGGCCAGTGTGGTGCTCCTCAGGACTGCGGCACTGAGATATAACCTGGCCTCAGTTTAGGAACAGAGGCCACAGCACGGCATGAACCCACCACTCTCCACATAGGAACTTAAAACCAGTGGGACCCATCTTGTGAGGTGTCAGAACCACCTTGTCAGACTAGCAGGCCTGGAGGTATCCTTCAGACTCAGCGTGTCCCCTAGACTGTGGCTTGGGGCTACAGCTTGCTATGTGCCCCTCTCCCTTGAATGTACTCTGGTCTTGCTGTGTGCTGTTGGCTCTTTTTTGCCTGGCCATCACTCTAGCTACCCCGTTGGCTTTGAATCTGGCTGAATGTTCTACCCTGAGATCTGGGGCATAAAATGGGCAAAACTTGAGAGACCTTCAGTGTGGATCCAGGTGGCCACGCTGTCCTTGTTAAATTACTAGCTCCTTTGGAATCACTGTTCAGAGCAGAGCTGAAAAGGAGATGGATTTGAATTTCCTCCCACCCTTAAGGTGATAGACAAATTGAGCAAGACTGGAGAATGGACACTGCTACTGAGCTGTGGCTACACAGTGACTGTCATGTCCCTATACATCTTTGGCCAGATTGACTGGGATGTCTGGACAGATGCCTGTGTGGGTGGTGAAGACCACATCTACACACGAGTAAGTCTTGGAGTTTACTTCTGTGATGTCAAAGTGTGTCCCAAGGTGACTCTTCCACTCTTCCAGACTCCTCTCTTAGGCAACAAAGGCTGCTGATTGATACCTGAGCACAAAGCCGAGGAGCTGAATTCATTCTGTCTTTCTGTAAAGTCCTGAGTTTGTTATTGGCAGATTTCCCTGGTGTGGCCAGCTTTTTCCAACCATGGGCATCTGAGTAGGCAGACCAGAAGACTGGGCACCGAACATGCATGCCAAAGTGACCGGTCATCTCATGAGGACTTGGACATGACCCTGTGGACCATTCTATGTGATTCAGAACCCATTTTTTATTAGCTTCCCATGCCTTTGGTCTTTCTTTCTCTTTTCCCCTGCCATCCTGACACTAATAGTTTGTCAATATAAATTCCCCTGGTTGTATTTTTTTTTTCTAGGA